GCTTCACATCAGAGCTTCTTTTCTGGATGAGATGGATCAGCTCAGTGAAGATCTTCTCACTGTGCTCCACTGTTTGATCAGCAGACTGATTGATGGCCTCCACCCCCTGTTGAAGCAGCTTCACATCTTTCTCTCTGTCCTGGATTCTCTGCTGGATGTTTTGCTGACTCACCTCCAGCTCTCTCTGCCTCACAGTAGGAAGAAGAGTGAGGGTTATCAGACTTTATTCCAGGAAGAGAAGCACTAAATGATTCCTATGTGTTTACCCATTTTCTGTTCAAAACCCATAGAAATATAATGTCATGCTTTTCAGTTCATCATGTAAATCTGCTAAATTAGTAATTCTGTTCTCTACAATAATTCAGATAACAAAAATGAACAGAGAAATTACTGATAGTGATAAAAACAAAGGAAAAATAAAAAAACTTGACGATAAAATAAAACTCAGCACACAAACTGACTTTTACACTTCTTTTCTTCAGTTACACAGACTGGATCCCACACTAGTCTTTTGCTGCCCTCTATTTCTCATTGAAGTTGTATCTATGAGAATATAGAAAGCCCAAAACTGTGTTCCACAGAAACAGAAACTTTATTGTTGCAATTCATGCAGCACTTCACCTTGTATATAACATATACAGGACATAGAATGAGACTAATATCACCTTCAGTTTAACCACAGCTGGAGGATCCAATTGGCTGTCTGTCAAGAAACTAGACGAACCTCAACCTAAATTAAGGCCGTTACTGGTGCTGACTGCAGCCCCATAACCATCAGATAGCATCTGAGACCGCAGGGCTTCAAAAACAAAAAAAAAGTCTTCAAAGGCCTCATCTCCTTGAATGCCACAGAACTGTCAGTTTGGACTTTGCAAGAGAGCACCAAACATGGGACATTGAAAGGTGATTTTATTCTCTGATGAAAAATATTTAACCTTGATGGTCCTGATGGTTTCCAACATTACTGGCATGACAGGCAGATCCCACCTTTCCTATGTGCCACAGGAGGTGCATGGCTGGCTATGTCCAGATGTTGCAGAGAGCATGACTGAGGGCCCTCATCTGCGTGGTAACGACTGGGTTTTTCAACAGGATAGCGCTACAGTACACAGTGCCCACAGGACAAGGGACTTCTTCCACTCTTTTTGGCCCATTCCCCTGATTTAAATCCAATTGAGAACCTTTGGGGATGGATGGCAAGGGAAGTTTACAAAAATGGACAACAGTTCCAGATAGCAGATGTCCTTCATGTGGCCGTCTTCATCACTTGGAAAAATGTTCCCACTCACCTCATGGAAGTGCTTGCATCAAACAAATATTTGAAGTATCAACGACATAATGGTGGAGCTACCCATT